TTTTTAGTGATAGTTTTTTTTAGATTTTTAGTTTAGTTTTTTATATTCCTTAGTATTAGTATTCGTTTTCTTTGATGTATTTGTTTTTATTGTATACCCTTTTTTTGTTCCCTATTATTCCTTTTTTTTTCTTTTTTCCTTCTTTATGAGAAAGTGTCATCAGTTTGGCAGCATTCTATTGTAGAGCAGGAATTTTGACAGGGCAAACAACAGCCAGCTGAGGAATCTGGGGGAAATAAGTCCGGAGTGAGTTCTGGATCTCTAGAAGAGGCCAAATGTTGCTAGACAGGTCGCATCTGAGCAAAACACAGTGGTTTAATAGTTCACCCTGATCGCAAGTGGATGTTTCGGCATCTGCAAGGTACGCCAGAGGTAAGTTTACTCTTTGGTTAGAACACTTTATAGATTTCAGATTTCTTCTATGCTAATGTAGAAATAAAAGTCTGTTCCCATAATAAAGTAAACAAGATTGCCGAAGGAAAAAAAAATAATAAACTTAATTGGTAGTTCGCGAATAAATGAGAATGGCAATAGGGGAGATCTTATAATAAAATATGGATATATAAAAATCACCTCTTCCATATAAATATACATGATTCTAAATTTAAATTGGCTATAACTTTTGATATACTAAACTAATTTTATTGATCTTACTACCATTAGAATCACAAAAACTAGCTCTACAACTTTAATTAAAGGCTTAAAAAACTTTGCTTAATAAAAAAATAAACTTTATATTGTAGGAAAGGGTGATTTTTGTATTATTATATATATATATATATCATTATATAAGAATTTATTATTAGCATTCTCATTTATTCGCGGACTATCAATTAATAGTAAAACTAATGCTACAACTTATTCTATAACAACATGATAATTGTTATAACTGATATCCAACTTGTCAATTGTAATCTATTTAGCATTAGATTAGTCTACAAAAAACTGTCAGTTTGTTATAGAATTAACTGTATTATGAACATCAGTTTGAAACAATCAACTCTATACTTAATCAAGTTTAGATTGATAGCTACTAATCTGATATGCATTACCAAAATATCCGTATAATCCAAAGGGGGTAGTTTAGACCATAAAATACAATAATTGATTAAGAAAATTTTTCTCAGTTCAAATCATTACTGATAAATAACAGTAGATACCGGTAGGCAAATTATATACAGAGTAGATACCAATAAAATAATACTGTAGAATAAATTTTAAATAATATAATTAATTATAAATATTAAAAAGTATGATTTGTTAAATAAATCATATAACTAGTAAATCTATCAGTGTTATATTAGTAGATTTTATTAGCATATTTTAGAAGATTTATTAGTATATTTTATTAGTATAATTTATATTTATTATATGTTTATTTTTAGCTTTAGTTTAATAGTAAAAATTTTAACAAATAGTAGTAATTTTAGTATAATATTAGGTATGTTAACAGGTACATTAACAGGTATATTAACTAGTACGTTAACAGGTATATTAACTGGTACATTAACAGATACGTTAATTAGATCGTTAACTGAGTTGTTAAAAGGGTCATTAACTAGGTTGTTAAAAGGGTTATTAACTAGGTTGTTAACTGAGTTGTTAAAAGGGTCGTTAACTAGATTGTTAAAAGGGTTATTAACTAGGTTGTTAACTAGATTGTTAAAAGGGTCACTAACTGAGACATTAACTGGGTTATTAACTGGATTGTTAACTGGGTCATTAACTGGGTCGTTAACTAGATCATTAACTGGGTCATTTACTAATAGTCTAAAAGATATAAAAATTCTGTTTTTTTCCTCAAAGCAGAGCAGACTTCTTTTACTCACTTTTAGTTTCTTATTATTTATGGATTATTTTTAATGAATAGACTGTCTCCTCCTCACTTTTATTTCTTTGTTAATTACAACTTATTTTCTTAGAAGTATAGCCATCACCTACCTTCTTTTTATTGTGTTTAATAAAGCTTTTATTGTGTTTTTATTGTATATTTAAAGTTGAGCCATTGCCTCTTCTTTCTTCTTTGAGTATTTATTTTTGGTATATTGAGTTGAACCATCACCTCTTCTCCCTTTTCTTGAGTATTCTATTGTGTTTTAGGATTAGAGCCATCACCTCTTTTCTTTATTTTTGGGTTATTGTCTTACTTTAAAGTCTCTTTTAGTTTTCTTTCTTATTTTATTCTTTTCTTATTTGCAAACACATTTTTTAATCCTCTTATATATTAAGTCAAGTAGTATAGCTTTACTAAGACCCTGTATTGCTATATTACACTAGTAGTGGTAGCTATCAGTAACTATCATTTACCAGTAGATATATACTAATTTGATAGAATTCACATTACTACTCTTAACTAAAGTTAGACACAAATAAAAAATAGGCATATTTTAGTAGACATGCCTTGGCTTGAGGCATATCTATAAAGAACAGCACCAGGATGTAGGTGAGATTTTTTGGGTTACGTGAAAAATCAAGCTCCAATCAAGACCGGAATTAGGTGATCAATTCGCAATAACAATACCAATATAAATTTTTTTTAAAAATAATATACAATAAACTAGTATTACATAATTAACGATTACATAATTTTTATGTCAATATTACATAATTATTACATTAATACTATAATTTTTATAGTACCAAAAAATAAAATGTCGTTGTACATTATATCCTAATATTAAATATCTAATTCCAACTATCTAACCCTAACCATAATTAACAACACACCAACACAATAAATTAAAATCTAAAAACCTCAAAACCGGAAGCTCAATTCTAAAGAGAACAAATAAAAGTTAATTGAAAAAGAGAAAGTATCCACCTAAAAATCCAAAACCGGAAGTTCAATTTCAAAAAGTATAGGTAAAAGTTATCTGAAAAAGAGAAGTAGGTGTTAGTTAAATGTGTTATATAACTAAGAAAGCCAATTCCAAAGAGAACAAGCGAAAGTGAAAAGAGCATTATAAACACGTCTTATAATTAAGAAAGTACCCATCCAAAAATCCAAAACTGGAAGCTCAATTCCAAAGAGAACAAGTAAAAGTTATCTGAAAAAGAAAAGTAAATATTAGTTAAACACGGCATACAACCAAGAAAGCCAATTCCAAAGAGCAAGCGAAAGCGAAAAGAGTGTTGTAAAATTATCTTAACCAAGAAAATATCTACCCAAAATCCAAACCGAAAGTTTAATTCCAAAGAGTACAGGTGAAAGTTACCTGAAAAAGAGAAGTGAGCGTTAGTTAAATATGCTATACAATCAAGAAAGCCAATTCCAAAGAGAATAAGCAAAAATGAAAAGAGTGTTGTAAACATATCTTACAACCAAGAAAGTATCTACCCAAAAATCCAAACCTAAAGCTCAATTCCAAAGAGAACAAGTAAAAGTTACCTGAAAAAGAGAAGTGGGCGTTAGTTAAACACGCCATACAACCAAGAAAGCCAATTCTGAAGAGCAACCGAAAGTGAAAAGAGTGTTGTAAACATATCTCAACTAAGAAAGTATCCACCCAAAACTCCAAACTGGAAGTTCAATTCCAAGGAGTACAGATGAAAGTTACCTGAAAAAGAGAAGTGGGCATTAGTTAAACATGCCATACAACCAAGAAAGCCAATTCTAAAGAGAACAAGTAAAAGCAAAATAAGTGTTGTAAGCACATCTCACAATCAACCAAGAAAGTACCCACCCAAAAATCTAAAACCAGAAGCTCAATTCCAAAGAAAACAAGTGAAAGTTACCTGAAAAAGAGAGTGAACGTTAGTTAAACACATCATACAATCAAGAAAGCCAATTCTGAAGAGCAAGCAAAAGCAAAAAGAGCATTGTAAACATATCTTACAACCAAGAAAGTACCCACCCAAAAATCCAAAACCAGAAGCTTAATTCCAAAGAGAACAAGCGAAAGTTATCTGAAAAAGAGAAGTGGCCATTAGTTAAACACGCTATACAACCAGGAAAGCCAATTCCAAAGAGCAAGCAAAAGAAAAGAGCATTGTAAACATATTTTATAACCAAGAAAGTATCCATCCAAAAATTCAAAACCAAAGCTTAATTCCAAAGAGAACAAGAGAAAGTTATCTGAAAAAGAGAAGTGGGCATTAGTTAAGCACACCATATAACATTTTAAAAAGAACAAGCGAAAGCAAAAAGAGCATTGTAAACACATCTCACAACCCACCCAAAAATCCAAAACTGGAAGCTTAATTCCAAAGAGAACAAGCGAAAGTTATCTAAAAAAAAGAAGTAGGCGTTAGTTAAGCACACTATACAACATTTCAAAAAGAACAAGCAAAAGCGAAAAGAGCATTGTAAACACATCTCACAACCAAGAAAATACCCACCCAAAAATCCAAACCGGAAGCTCAATTCTAAAGAGAACAAGCAAAAGCTACTTGAAAAAAAGAAGTAGGCGTTAGTTAAACACACTTTACAACCAAGAAAGCAAATTCTGAAAAGAACAAGCGAAAGCAAAAAGGTGTTAATTAAACACACCGGAAGTCCAATTCCAGAAAAAAAAAATATGCTTTTAAAAAAAAAAAACCAAAATAAAAAAAAAATATTACATGTTGATCATTTAACAAATTTTAGAATTAGGTTGGAGTATCGGAATACACGTGACCTGAAAAATCTCACCTACTTCCTGGATCTGTCCCTATAGAGCATGCCTATATAAAATTATATAATATAAAATTAATCAATCAAAATAAGGTACAATTATAGCTAAATTTTCCCATAATTTACTACATATAAAATATTAATTAAAGATCTAAGGTTAAAGATTTATAAAAAAAAATACATATACACATATATATATTAAAGTTCTATTAAGTATTTAAAATACTTATTTTAATATTCAATTAATAAAAAAACTCTTTCTGACGATCACCCAAAATTACAAAAAGTAACAAAATATAGAAGAAAGATATTCAAAAAAAACCTAAATAAAGCTAGAATATAGACAAAATTAATACAAAACACAAGAAAACAACTGACATAACAACTAATATAACAACAAAACAACAACAGTATAAAAAACACAACAAGAAAACTAAAAACATCAACAACCAGTCCTCAATGGACTTGGTAGAAGAAAACAGCTTGCAAAAGCAAAATAACACATATATATCAGTGTATACACCCAAGCTACCAATAAATAACAATATAGACAACCAAGAAATACAGAATACAAATAACAACCAACAAACTTCTGCCCAAAGTAAAAAATGCCGCTACAACAATATACCCATCTCTACAACTTACAAAAAATCGACAAAAAGTGGTTACCTCTACCAAAACACACTATGACATTATATGTTATACAAAACAACACAACAACAACCATAACGGGAAATAACAACAACAACAACACAACAATCACGGGAAACACAAACATACAAAATAACACAAATATAGCAGATATACAAACACAGCCACCAACAAACAAAACACATGACCCAACATCCAATACAGGAAATAACCTCAAAATAACAGCTATGCAGATAGATATAGAAAATACAATAGCTACAACCCATGACCAAAATAAATCAGGAAACCAAACTATCAACACTCAACAAAAATCGTACAGCCATATACTACAACAAAATATCCTCCAACAAGATCAAATACAAATAGATGAAGAAGCACTATATGAGCAAATACAAAGTTGGATTAAACATATACTTCAAGAATTAGACAACCAAAATTAAAACAAGTTCAACTACAGGATTTGGCCAATAGACAAAATAATCACAGCACTTGACAACACAAATAGTATTGAAGAATTTATACAATACAAACTAACAATGCAACCCACACAACACCCGATTCCAAAAGCTATACTTCTTAAATTCAAATATCTAGATTCTGCATTTTTTATATCTTTTATTTAAAATAGACAAACCACACCTATATACTAAAAAGAATTTACCAGCCTACTCAAAGCAGCTATCACTAAATATAAAAATAAAAACAAAATCACTCTAACAAACAGAGAAACTAGAGATATAATCTAACACAAACTGAGATAAAAATTAATAATAGAATATCTTACAAACCTTAACTTTAGACAACTCCCACCAAGCAATGCATATCAGATAATCAAATATAGCTGAAACTTTATCTGTGCAAAACCTATCACAGACTACAAACAAATCCAAACAGCAGTTAATCAAGCATATAGCATCTAATGACAACAACTACCTGAAACTCCTAAGGAAATAGATAGCCAAACCAAAAACATATTATCCTTCAAATTATCAATTAAGCAAAGATCTCAAACAAAAGCAATTGTTAACTCCCTCAGAGTAATTTTTAACTTTCCAAGCCTACCAGACACCTACTTTACTACATTACCAAAACTTCCAGACAAACCATCAGAATTAAAAGAAGAACTAAAAATCTATTTTTCTATTATGAATCTAAAACAACTAAAAGAGCTACGATTCTACAAAAAAAAACTCATCAACCACTACAGCTTTACTAAAATACTTGCAACATACTTTGCTCTACCACCAGAACAAGAACCTCTATCATTAACTTACCACAAACTAAATAGTGGAGTTAGACACCTCTTCCTCATCAACCTAGTATTAGAAGAAACAAATATTAGAAACATAGCAGAAGCACTCAGAAAATACTACAAATTCAGAAGCATACCAAATGACTTCTTCATACAAAAACCTGTATTATCACAGAAACCAAGCAAAATTAAACTACACACCAAATTTACTTATCTGATTACTAATGACAAAATAGTACAAGAATTCTTTAAAGAGACAAAGACAAAATATAAGATAATCTTCTCTATAAACAAGGCAATCCTAACAGCCAACCCTACAAACAAACTAAGACTACCTTTAGACCCAACAGAAATCAAGGCATTCAATATCACAATATCTATTACATCATCTAGAATACTAGTAGAAACAGCTAAATTCCTTAGAGAAGAATACTACTTCAAATATATTCTATTAGAATGGATCAATATACCTATCATACCTAACAAAATCCACGAGATCAAAACTAACAAAAAACCAATAATACCAAAAAACCTAGTTGAACTACAAGAAGCACTTGAAAAAATTACTGATAAAATCTATATCAATGTACCTATTAAACAACAAAAGGAAATTAACTTCACGATATCAATACTTCGACAGCACTTCGAAATATCACAAATCCCAGACTACATACTAAAACTTTCTCCTCTCTCAAAACCAACTTGGGACATCTTCTTCTAATCATGTCAAGTTCAAAAAACTATAACAAAAATGAATATACAACCAACATATACAACACAAACAACCACAAACAAACAGACACTATTAACTTAGCTTTACACAATATACGTGGACTCAACAACAATATCAAAAGAAAACTATGGCTTGACTACTGCAAAAAGAAAAATATAGATATAATAAGTATAACAGAAACCAAACTCGCAGAGTCAAAACATACAAACTTACAACTACATAATGAGACATACTATTTTTATATATCAAACACCACAGCAACAACAGCCAAAAAACAAAAAACAAGCATGGAAGTCGCAATAGCACTACATAAGAAATTACAACCATATATACATAATATACAAACCTACCCAGGAACAGCACTTAGCATTGATATATTTTTATTACACAAAAACCAATTTCATATAATAGCAACATACCTATCCTGCAATAACAAACAACTCAACAACTTAACTCAATCCAAAATAATAGAATGGGCAGAACAGGCAAATAAACAAAAGATCAAACCGATCATCCTTGAAGACTTTAACCTCGACCTTAACAAAAAACACATACACAACACTCTAATACAATACTTAAAAAATACAAATATGCTACCATTAATCAATACTCTACTACCAAACCAACCTACATGGAACTCTCAACGAACTAGCAGCCAAATAGATGAGATATGAATCCCAAAAAACTCAATAGAAAACTTTCAAAACCCAATACTCAAAGAGGCTACACAGATTACAAATAGTGATCACAAAATAATTTTCACATCAATTAACATATCATACATATACTAAAGAAGCAAAAACAAAACAAAAAGAACAATCTACAACTATGATATGATGAATACAGAAACATGGGAACAATTTGCAAACACAATTGAAGCAAAACTTGCATAATCAAAAACAGATTCACCAAGCCTTAGTATAAAAAACCTCAACAAAACATGGCATATATTAGCAAACTGTATTAAACAAAGTGCAAACAAACATATCTCACATACACGCAAAGCAACACAAAGTAACAACCATCTATTCTCACCTACAGCCACCAAATTACATAAGGCACTGACACATATAAACAAAGCATGAAGACATATAAGCATACACAAACAAGCAACAAATATAGAATGAATACACAACTCTATACAACAAACCAACAACCTATCTGATATACAAATACAAATATAACCTAATACAACAATAGAAAAAATAGATTCAATACTCAAAACAACTCAACAACAAATCAAAACAGCAAGAAATATAGAAAACCAAACAGCAAAAAACTTATATATAAAGAACTGTATTGAATGCAGATACCAAAACTTCTAAAACAATACATCTAAAATGATAAAAAATGTACTTAAAAAACACACAGACCCCGTAATACTACACAATATCCGAACACCTAACAATATAATCACAGAACCTCAGAAGATCAAAACCACAATACAGGAGCATTTTAAAAACTGGACAAAATCAAACCTAACCCAAACAAAACTATGGAAAGAATGGGCAGACAAATACAAACCAATTCAAATAATAGATCCAACATGGTATAATACAATCATGACAAAGATTACATTCTCTGAACTAGAGATTATAATCAAAGAAGCACCCAATACAAAGGCTACTGGGCCCTCAAAAATATCAAATAAAATGTTAAAACACCTAGGCTTCCAAGTAAAAGCCACAATTCTAGATCTATTAAACAATTGCCTAAAAATATATGATGTGCCAACTGCATGGAAATATAGTACAATATACCCCATATCAAAAAAATCAACATTTATAGGAAATCTAAACCAAACACGCCCAATTATACTAATTGAACATACTAGAAAAATCCTTATAAAAATCATTGTACAAAGACTTGACCTCATCCTATCTAAATACAGCATATTAAATCCTAACAACTATGTAGCTCTAGCAAACACCTCCATCACAACATCAATACATACACTTCAATATATAATAGAAGACACTCAAATAAACAAAAAAGAATTATAGCTATTATCGCAGGACATGAGCAAAGCTTATGACTTGGTATACATACCACTCTTAATCAAAGCACTACATCGCATCAAAATACTGAAACCCATAACAAATATTATAAACAACATACTATCCCATAGACACAATAATATCATCACAAATCATTGACTAACCAACAACTATCATGTTCAAGACAGAATAGATCAAAGGGAAACCATAACCCCACTACTATGGAGAATATACTATGACCCCTTGCTAACTCGGATCAACAAAAACTACTCCACATACACAATGAACACAACAACACCACAACTAATACACACACAATACACATGTCTCAGCAAACAACAAAATGTACTCACATATATAGATATGTTATGGATAGCAGAAAACAAACCAAACTTACAAATACTAATCAACACAG